GGTAACATTTGGCGCCCACCTGTTTTTTTGAGTCATTTCTGCCGTCTGTCATTAAAAATAAAATTTACAAATTATTAGTTATTAGTATTACAACATAATAATAATAATAAATAAAATATGAGAAACAGAATTTAGTTTGCACTCCGCCCGAAATTAGTGAAATTGCCGAAGCAACAACGCAAAATTTGTCACCTGACAAGTCAAAAGCGGCATCCAAAAACTAAATAACCCTAAATTCATTAAAACACAGTGTGCTTTTATAGAGCCATAAACGACTTCTACGGGAGACATTAATAAACGTATTACAAACACAAATTACAAAAAAAAAAACAATATATTATTCCAATCAATTATAAAAACAATGAAATGTGCATAATATTCAGTAGTAAAGAGTTTTTACTTTGTTATATCTGTTTGTTAAAAAATCCACTAAGAATAACAATTATTGATAAAGTGGTCTTTTATTAACTCTCTTCAATTTGATAAGTTTGTACGAAATACTTCTCAGAAAGTCTAGACAATCTTTTAACCTGAATGGACAGATTAATAATACAATATTATCAATTTTTTAAGATTTGTTTAATTATAATATCACTATATAAAGCAAACACCTATCTCAAAAATTTATCATTTCTAAAATGAAATTTGTAGTACTGTTTGCACTAGTATTGGCAACCGTCTCAGGTAATTCGTTTTTCTTCTGTTTTAAAACATTAAATAACAAATTAATTAAAAGCGGTTCCACCGTTCCTTCACAAGAACAAATTCTTTCCCGACGGAAGAATCGTCGGAGGTTCCGATATTCCTATTGAACAGGTCCCATGGCAAGTTTCTTTGCAATATTATGGTCAACACTTTTGCGGTGGTTCTATAATTAGCGAAAAATACGTGGTCACTGCTGGTCATTGCACTGAAGGGTAAATCTCTCCAAATCTTTTTCAAATACTTAAATTATTTTATGCTTTAGACTTACAAAAGGTGACATTTCCATTCGTGCAGGAACTTCCATTCGGGAATCAGGAGGCCAAGAAGTAAAAATTGCGAAAATCCACCAAAACCCTAAATTTGATTCCAGTATTATCGATTACGATATCACCATTTTGGAACTGGCCACTCCTTTGAAACTGTCAGATAAGGTAGCTCCTGTTAAATTGCCAGAAAATGGACTTGTTTGGCCTGATGATACAGAAGTTCTTGTAAGTGGCTGGGGAACTACCGAAGAAGGTTCAGATACTCTTCCGACAGCTCTGCAAGGAGTTACTGTACAAATCGTCTCGTATACTACGTGCAGACAAGTTTACGGTGAAGATGCTATAACTACACGCATGTTGTGTGCTGGAGTGAATGGTGGAGGTAAAGACTCCTGCCAAGGAGATTCTGGTGGTCCACTGGTCGTGGGTGATGTTCTTGGGGGAATTGTTTCGTGGGGGTCAGGATGTGCTCGTCCTAAATATCCAGGAGTTTATTCAAACGTAGCTGCGCTTCGTGATTTTATCACCGAAGTAACAGGATTGTAAATTTACTGCTTTGTCATTAAAAAAATAAATACAAAAGTACTTTTTTTAATATCCCTCAACAGTCGAGTACTAAACACTTTGTTAATGAATAGAAAATATTTAATTACTTGTAAAAGTTTTTTCAGCACTTTTAGAAGGGCAACAAATTAAATGCACTGTATATTATTTAAAATGTCAAGTATTTTTGATCAGTAAAAATAATAAATGCACAGTAAAGGAAACGAATGAATATCTAGTAAAACTAGAACACATTTGCAAACAAAATGTTTCCGAGAGCAAAACTGGAATGTCGCAAACCGTTCAAAAACAAAATTGTGGCATCAGGAGCACAGCAGTGCAAAGAGTGGCGTACGCTCATTAGACTGATTATTACCATTTGTGCACAGTTTCCAGCCCTTGCTAAAATCATTCTTGCGCAGGGGCCCTTGCTAATACATATACCACCCYACAATAATAATAAATAACATTCTTACACAGGGGCCATACATTGTTATGTAACCGAAACTGAAAATTCCTTAAATTATATGTTATTTTGATAATTTTGATTAAAGTTACTGAGCGTTTATTATTTTGAAAATTGGATTTTTTTACTGAACGAAGTACAATAAAATACTGTGCGTGGTTTACTTAGCATTTCTTATTTTTACTGCGTAAAATATTGTATTATATTGATTATTTTTATTTTTTTACTGTGCAACAATTAATTAAATACTAAATCAATTTATCATTTTACACTGATCAACATTGAGTTATTTACTGAGCGCTTTATTACTACCTATTTAAAAGTTTAAAACATTAAAATATTTTTATCTACTTGCATATTAGAATCAAACCTCGTAATAGTAGAGTATTTAACAAGTAACAAAGAGTGATAGTTTTCTAACGAGATGATTTACGAGCATAGCGAGTGTATTAAATTTTCACAAGCTAGAAAACTCACTTATCTTACGAGTTCAATATGCTATTTTTTGTGTACCTACTTACTGAAAAATGGTAAATAAAAGCAATATTTTTTTATATTTTATTCAAACTTTTGATATTATGTATAAGTTCTCTGTGCAAAAGAATGGTACAAACCACAAATAAAAATTTTGACAGAAAATGAAATGGGAACATTTTGTGATGATAATAATAAAATATTGGAAACCGCGAAGAAAGCAACCTCTCAACAAGCAGTCCTTAGTCATTCTGACTAATTCTGCTGTGTCATATTGTGTTAATACATAAAGAAACTGTGAGTAGTTTTTGTGCCACCTTGCTCGAGACAGTGTAGGACAAGTGGAACCTCTTTAAAACCCGCCAAATGGAGAGTGGGTCCCAAAAGTAAGATTTACCAAACCAAGGTGAAGCTTTTAACAATATCAATGACTTATTATTCGGTTGTATGGAGTATTTTATTTTATCAGGTCAGGTCAGGTCAGGTCTAATTTTGTAAGTTTCAGGTTTTAAAAGGTTTTCTAGAGACACTATCAAGTTTTTATTACTCATGGTAAATGCAGCATGCAGCAATTGTTTTACTTTAGTGTGTACTTTTTGTTCACATAGTTTTTTCCTGTCTGGCCGCAACTCATTGTCTATTTATCTCCTACGTCCCTGACAAAATCTGACGTAAAATTATGTCAATTTGTCAATGGGACAAAATTTATAACCTTAAAATAATTTTTGAAATAAACTTGACATTAGTTGCTACGAAAAATTTTAATGAAAAAGGAGAGAACGTATATACCTTATCCACATAAGACAAAATTGGCTCGGTTTGACGTTCAGTGTCCCAACTCTTCAAATATAGGAACTCTAGAACTTGGTACAATAGATTACTACGTAACTGTAGCGAAATATCTTCGTAGATATTTCGATGGAAATTGCTATTACCAGTTTGTCACTATTTCGGAACTACCCAACATTACGTTTCAACGACACAAATTTATTCAACGGATACGTAGCAAAGTAGTTTAGTCTTTTTCTTTATGAAAGAGAAAAAAATAATCCCACAGTTATGTTTTCATCTCTTTCAGATTTAGTTCAGCTATTCTATAGGTAATGTCCAACAGTATTTCCTATCTCTATTAGTAGATATCAGTAATACAGTTTAAAAACTATTCACTTATCGAAAATAGAGGATGTTAAAAAGAATGTAAAATATTTCAGGCGGCAATAGTATCAACCAAAACAAACAAAAAAGTTTTAACAAACATGGGTCTGCAAAATAACGGTTTCGTAGATATCGAAAATTATTCGTTCTTTGAAACATTTATTTGCAGTCTGTTTAAACAAAAAAGAGAAGCTTGTAGTAAAAATTCTAAAAATTTTCACATTCGATATCTCTCTTGACGAACTCATGTTATTCATACTATTATCTCCTTAGATAAATATTTTACAATCTTTTTTAACACCCTGTATAACCTGTGTTCATTTAAAAAACTCAAGTGCTTCGACAAATATTTTGCATGTATTTGATTAATCCATTTGACAAGAAAACTCATTATACAGAGTGTCCGGAAATTGGGTGCACAAACTTCTAGGGATAATTATATACCATAAAATATGAAAAAAAAGTTCCTATCAAAATGGGTCGAAAAAAGCTTCCTTAGAAAGTTACGACTCTGTAAAGGTGGGCCTTCAAATGTTTTTTTTTTTTTTAATTATTTCTGTTAATATTTTAATTAGAAAAACAACAAAACCACGCTCCCGTAGATTGCGTAGGTTACTGAATCGATAGGCATAAATAAAATTTTTGAAACTTGGTCAAGAGCGCACAAAATAGGAGGGGCTGCGGCAAAAAACGCTTAATACTTTTTGTCTCTTAAGACTTTTTGCAAACTGAATCCCATAATAAGACAGAAAAAACATTTAAAAAAAAAACTTTTAAAAAAGTCCTCTTAGTAAAATGTTGTAGAAGGCATCGTTTTCGAGATACAGGCCATTTTTTGTCAACGCACTGAGGTAATAGAAACAATGTAATGAATAAAAAACATCATAACAATTCATTATTAAATATTAACAAAAATAGTTTTAAAAAAAAAGCACATTTGAAGGCCCACCTTCACAGGGCCGTAACTTTCTAATTAGGAAGCTTTTTTGGACCCATGTTTATAGGAACTTTTATTTATATTTTGAAGTATGGAATTATCCCTGTATGTTCGCCTACTGCATTTTTTTAATCAACTCACGTTATGTTACAAAGAACAAAGAAATTGAAGCAAATTGTAGTCAAAATTTTAAAATCAATTTAACCAATTCAAGTTTTCTGATAAACTTTTTGAATAAACTTGTATAAAACAGATGCTCCTTCAACATAGTAATCTTTAAGCAAAAACAATAATTTCATAATATTAATAATGTTTTCCGAAAGACATTTTAAAATTACAAAAAAATTAAAGTCAAAAACTGCAAAACTCGTACACAGCCTGAAAAGTTTGAAAAAATTTAATTTTAAAAACACATTTTATCTTTTACCAACTATTTTTTAAGCAAAATGCTTGGTTTTATAATTTTTGCTCATACTGTTAAAAAAGCACAGTTTTATTTTATGACTGTGTATAGTTATATTTAATATTTTACAAATTCATCAACAATTGATCAAATTTTATATTCCTGTAGTTTGTTTAATGAAACTGCGAAGCGCAGGAACATTGGAATAAACTCCGGGATAACTAGGTCGTCCACATCCTGCTCCCCAAGAGACAATCCCGGCAAGGGTATTACCGACGACCAACGGACCACCAGAATCTCCCTGGCAAGCATCCTTGCCACCTTTAGTAACACCAGCACATAACATACGGCTGGTGATGCTACTAGACATAGTAGCATAAGCAGATTTGCAAGTCGCTTCGCTGACTATTTGGACAGTAACCCCTTGCAGAGCACTAGGAAGTGAACTCGAACCCTCGGTGGTGGTTCCCCAACCAGTGACAAGGACAGAAGTACCCGCATTCCAAGTGGTAGTGGAAGATGGAAGAGAGACTGGGGCCACGTTTGAGCCCAAAGTCAAAGCAGTGGACAATTGAAGAATTGAAATGTCGTAATCGACAGTTTTGCTGTTGTAACTGGAATGTTGGTAGATTTTCGACACACTAGATACTTGACCACCGGAACCACGAGTCGAGGTACCGGCACGAATGGACAATTGACCAGCCGTCAAACTTAAAATTTATACCAAAAGTAGTTTAATTGATTTAATTGATAAATTAGACTAACCTGTCGGTACAATGAGCAGCAGTGACAATATAGTTAGCGCTGATTATAGAAGCCCCACAGATGTGGGAACCATAATATTGGAGCGATACTTGCCAAGGGACCGAAGAAATGGAAATTGCTGAACCACCAATAATACGACCATCGGGCATCAAGCTGTTGGTTCGAAGATAAGATGGAACCGCTGAAATTATCACAAATTTGTTATTGTAAGAAATTAAGGCCAAAACTTACCAGAAGCGGTTGCTATTAAAAAGACAATCAATAGGAATACCTTCATCTTGGCAAGTAATAGTGTTCACAAAATGGAGCTGAATTTTTATATCCATTTGTTGTACTAAGATTATTTTCAAAATGTTCGATAACGTCAAAATTAATCTATCCATAAATATTTCAAAATTGTCTGTGCACAGTCAAAATTGATCTTGCGGATTTACAATCGGATAAAAGAATATAAAAAAGACAAATAACTAGAGAAAAAAAAACAAGTAGTAAATAACATTCATCTCTCCGAAAAAATGGTTACATAAACAAAATATTATAAAGAGCCTTTTTTGGAACCTCCTAGCCCAAAATAAAGCTCACCATCGACTACACTGGCCGCCAAAATTAACCGAACAACTAAAATTTTTCACGTTGCAATATTTTTATTATTTTTTGTCGGATTTTGACAAATTTTTGTTCGGCTTAAAAAACAAACTTTGCAAAACGTAATTTAAATCAATAATATTTCTAGTTTTGTATTCTAAATGATACACCTAAAAGACAAAAGCATTGTTTTTTTAGTTTTTTTATACTGAGCTGTAGTCTGCAACAGAGACAAAATTAACTTTTTACTTATTTCAAATTATTGCCCGTTTTTTTCTGAATGAGGACTAATTTCTTTCAAAATTTTATCTTCTGATGCCCCAGAGATACAAAGTATTGAAATGTTACTAAATATTCCTTCAGAAAGTAGGCTACATAAAAAGATAGTTAAACCAAAAATTATTTCTTATGTCACCAAAAGAGCACAATTACTTCTCTGAACACAAAAAATCTGAAAAACACATTCGGCCGACTTAATACGAACATTTATTGAAATCGGAAATGTAATGCTTTTTTTTTGAATGTCTCAACAATTAAAATTATAAAAAATGTGGTTCATAATTCAAAAAGGAATGGGCAATAATCTGAAATCAGTAAAAACTTAAGTTTGTCTCTGTCGCACACCACAGCTCAGTATAAAAATAAGTAAAAAAAATCTGGTGTGAACATCACACGACTTTCCTTATCCTACTTATTTGGAAAACATCCTAACGGCTATAATTTGGTGTTGGTTGCACTAACCTTTGCGTTAGTGCGACCTGCCGGATTACAAGCGAAATTGATCATAGTTGTCGCGGGTTCGAGTCAGGGGTGCAGTTTTTTTTTTGGTTTGGTTAATATTATTATTATTTTATCACATTTTACTGTTTAATAAGGATAAGGAAAGTAAAAAAAAACAGTGCCTTCGTCTTTTGAGTATCATATTTAGAAGACAAAACTAGAAATGTTATTGAATTAAATTATAATCATCTACAAACAACAATAATCCGTCGAAATCCGATAAAGAATAACAAAAATATTTCAATGTGGTTTTAATTTTCTTTACAATTTAGACAAAAAAAATAACGGTGGRCCTTTTTAAGCATCAAGTTTTATTTGGCTTARGTATGTACCTTCCAATACATGTACCACGGTCATAACAAATAGTCGATTATAGCCCTTAAAAAATTACCGTTTGTACAAATTAATCCCGTATTTAATTTTCACAAATTTTTCTGGTGGTTCAGTCACAGGACACTACTTTCAGTCCCAAATAAAATGGCGTCCAAGRCCCGTATTTAGAACTTTTATACTTAGGTTTCACCAATGATTTTTTTCACTGTCAGTTTAATTAGGCAATTATTAACTAATAATAATTCACCTTCSATTTTATACAGTAACAGTAGAGGTCAAAAGAAGCCAAATTACTCAACTTGCCTTASAAATTTAAACCACCAACTCAAAGTGTAAACAAATATGATTTTTGAGGTCAGCTCTTCAAAATCTATTACATGGTTAAAAAAATGAGTTAAATTTAGCAAAAATAAAAACACAAAAAAATGTCCTCATATAAAAAAATCATAAAACGGAAAAAAATGTGAATCAATTTTTTGTAGAAGATATCACCCAATTCCATTATCTCAAATGTTACCTATTACAAGCAATGTAAACTTTGGGATAAAGTACTCAAAAGATTTAAACTTTGTTAATACGAGGGTTGCCTCGTACTATTATTATTTCAGGAATAGGCGATTCTGGTGGTGCAATTTGGCAACTGACATCTATATCGTAACATTCGACTTTTTTTAGGATAAACTTACTYAGAACATTTTGACGTAAATTTTTCAAAAATTTTTGACAATTTACTCGATAGCTAAAATTAATAAGTAATTAATAAAAACCAACCCCACATTTAATAAAACTCTATTTTAAATTATTAAATAAACATCAAAAACTAAAAGTTATAATTGAACTCGTGATCTCATGCATTTTTCTTACCGAATACCACTCGTGTGTTGATTGAATCCGAGAATTTTGTTTTCGTGATTGTCAAAAACGTGTAATTAGTCCTCACTCGAAAAAATTTCCGGAAACAATCATTCACTGGGAGTATGTATTATAAGTGAAAATGATTTCTTAAAACACTCTTATACTATATACAGGGTGTGAATTTTAAAACTTGCAATCGGCAATATCTCTAGAACTAAAAAAGTTATTGAGAATCACTCAAAACCGTTTGAGTGGTTTTTAGGGGAAATCAAAATGGCGTGGTAAGTGACGCTCCTCCACTCATCCTGCAAGCCACAGCCACCTTAAGTTGAAAATTTTAAATGGCACGACCCTACTTGCAATACATCGTTGGAAAGCTCATAACAAGCGCTTTTCAAAAATGTCATTCAACAGCCTATTTARTAAAGCCGTTTTTTCAATTATTCAAAAACAAAGATTTTAAATTTTAATTTTTTTTTTTTATATTCAAGGGTGGGTGGAGGTGTGGCACTTATGATGTCATTTTAATTCCCCCTAGGAACTACCGAAACGGTTTTAAGTGATTATTAATAACTTTTTCWGTTGAGAGAAATTTCCGATTGCAAGTTTTAAAATTGACACAGTGTATTTATTCAAGCTTATATTTTACATTTTATTTTAACTGGAATTTAATTTCTTTTTGTCATTAACAAACACTTGCATACGAATACGAGTCTAGTATACTACAAGAAAGTATGTCTTCAAAGGTACGAGTTCATAATAGAATTTTTTCTATTTCGGTGTTGCAATAAGTCTATTCCAGCACCCAAATGACGACATTTGCGTGCTGGAATAAGTCATTCGCGGTAATTTAATTTTAGTGACGGACTTTCTTCACAATTCATTTTCAAATGTGAAAATAAGAATAATTTTATAATTTTTATTTTTTACAACGGCCTAAAATTATTCCACACTAAATGTCGCCAACCGTCGCAAAATTCTCTAGAAAAAAAATTTTTAATTTTCGTTTTTTAATTTACAAAATGATATAAAGCGGCGAAATAATAAAGCACTTGTTGCAGAAGGTTCTTCAAGCACTCATTTGTTCCTCAACTCGCCGCTTCGCGGCTCGTTTCGGAATTTCAAATTTGTGCTTGAATAGATACCTTCTGCAACTTGTACTTTAATATACTATTTCCTTCACTAATATCTTAAACCGTTTCTTTGGTGCATTAATAGTATATTATAATACTAGTTTATAAGCAATCCTTTAAAACACGCACGGCGGCTTTTAACGTCGTAAGTGTTTTAAAGGCGCTTATAAACGAGTGTTATACGSTATTTTTTATTATACCTGCCCATTTACGATCTTTTATGAGCATTGAAAAAATGTGAATTTACACAGTAAAAYTATCAAAGGTTGTTTGTGAATCGTTTTAGTTTACGTTGTTAAGCACATTTTTTGACGTTTGTAAAAATTCGTTCAGAAAATGAGTGAAGATATTAAAAGGCTTGCAGAACAAGCAGAACTGCGATTAATTCCGGAAAAATCAAAACTTGCGTARTGGCTATATTGAAGAATCCACTTCAAACAAAATATTTTTACCAAAGGCATTGCTGGCGTTCTGAACACATTGAAATTTCAAACAATAGTAATTGTAATTTTAATATTTATTTCAATAAATAAAAATTGGTTCTGACATTTTACTATTTCTTGTTGCCTAGACAACTTTAAAATTTCAGCGTGCTATAAAGGCCAAATTACGCACGCTGYAGCGTGTTTTAATTTAGGATTATRATGCCGGTATAATAAAAAATTACCTCTTATGCCGTTGCTGTTAATTAATATATGCTCTTCTATAAAATATGTCRTTAATGACAACGTATTTTATAAGYACATAAAATACTCTTATCTTGGCATTTTGACAATTTTGACATTATCTTCACAAATTTCTTTATAACCATTTTTAAATTTAGCAAAATTTCTGATTCTGAGTGTTGGAAAAAATTGTGAAGACAACACAAGTYTAAAATAAATGATAATACTACTACTTACATACATATAATAATAATTATTTTTTTTATAAATAGAAATTTACGTATTACATATTWGAAAACTATTAACAAATATATAAATACAATATGTTGATATACCCTGGTTAAAGATGTGATTAGATATTATCTGTCTGAGAACGACTTAAAAAGATTTATAGCAAATATTAAAAACTAATAAGTAATTGTTTATTTGGAAGTGTTAAAAAATATCAAAAATCATGTTCTATACTTAACCCACTTAAATATTAATTTTAGCTACAATGTTTAGGTATCTGTCCTTGTTAGATAATTTRAACACGAGTTTGGGTGATCATCTGATAACTAGATAAGTCTAATATTTGTCATAGATAGTACGAGTATTCAAAAAAATAGCATGTACTTACTATTTCATCGTATAAATGAGACAATTTTCATACTGCTAGTATGGTTACTTTTAAAAGTTTTAGAATCTATGTGTCATTGTCAGTCACAAAAGTCATTTTTTCCATTGCATACAATGCATCCGCAGACAASAAAAGTGATCAAAGATCGCGCTGTCACAAAACTAACGGAATATTGTCAAAATTGTATAGCTACGCTTTTCTTTTGAATACAAGTGTGCTTCAAAAATCTGAGTCTGGTAGACGAGTTTGAAGACCTTTCCGATTTTAACCGATTCGGTTTTTTGGCACAGCYGCAAAAACTATCGTTACGGTCTTGTACTGTAGAAACTATACAATCAAAAAATCAATTATCGTGCCAATTTATTATTATTAACAACTTATAGTACTTCTCATTACTGGTTAGTTGTGTTAATCAAGACATTTGCTAAAATTATTAAAAAAGTTAAAAATTTACGACATTMTTAATAAGTCGTATCAMCCATTGTCTTTTTAATGATATGATTCATGGGTTTGTAAATAAAGATCAATAAAATTATAATACAAATGTTGTAATTTATCAGCACGGAACATTTACTCAAAATATTGCATTTTAGATATGTTTCTTTAAATAAAAAAAAAAACAATTTTTTCATTAAAATTGTATACGCTTTGAAGATTCGATCACACGTATTTTTATTAAAATTATGGATTTAATTTTTCGGTTCTGTACATTCTTTATTTTTGTTTACTGTTCTTTGTCTACATTACTTCTCACACAAGTTACTTCTAAAGGTAAGTTACGATATTAATATTTTTATCCACATTTGTTTAACAAAATTTTGGATTGTTGTAATATACAGAGCTAGTCACAGGAGAGTTACTTTGAAAATTAATTAGTTTGCAACCAAAAGTACATACCTTTAGCGTATGTAACTGGATATAATATTTTATTTGAAAAATGCAAATGAGTGAAGTCGTCAAAGTGACAACTACTTGTCTACTGCTTCAAGAATTCTAATTTCATTTTCTGGGCCTCAGTAGCAGTCCTCTGACGGAGTCTTTCATTGAGGGACAATCTTGTCGCAACTTGGCTTCCAGTTTTCTAAATGTGTCAGAAACGAACGAAAATTGACTGTTATTTGTTAAATGTCAAAATGAAAAGATATGCAAAGTACTCTTGGATTCAATTTTATAATTTTTAAAAATTAGGAAGCTAGACGCCTATGTGAATTGTATAATGGGTTGCTGCCAAAATTATTTCAGAAGTAACTCTCCTGTAAAGTGCCACTTCACCTATAATTTCTACCCATTCAAAGTAATAATTAAAACTATAAAAATACATTAAACACAAAACACGTTCAAATATTATTCCATATAATATTTCCTTTGCTTTCACTCAATTTTTAATTCCGTCGATTTCCTTTATATACAAGGTGATTCACGAGGAATAATGAGCCTAACCAAATTCTCGATGCAACCACCATTACTCTTCGCAAGTTATTTTGCTACAACTGTAATGTTGGTTGCATCGAAAATTTGTTCAGGCTCATTATTCCTCGTGAATTACCCTGTATAATTCCGCCCAAAGTTGATCTTCTTTACTTATGAGTCCGTCCCGTCCATTCAGACTGGACGAGCTATGAAAAACGCAGCCGTATTTTTCCCCCTGGCCACAGATTAGCTAATACTAGAACTAGAACTACTAGAACTAGCTAATCTGTGCCATGGCCATGACAAGGCCCACGTCTTCATTCGGGATATGGGAAATAAGCGTCGACTTCCCCTGGTTTTTGATCGCGTTCTTAAGTGTCTCGTACGGTGTATTTTTAACCTAGAAACTTACTCGTTATATTCGTTTCTAAAATGAATCATACAAACGATATTGTGTACAATTTGTTAGAAACCCCATTTAATCGGTGGAAAGAAGATGACCACAAAGACGTTTTAACCGCGCCCTACTGTAAATTTGTCAGTTATTTTTCTTTCAGTAATTACTTCCATTAAAAGATTATATTATTTGCATGGGTAAATGAGATCATTACTTTTTAAAGATTAAACGTTAGAACCATCACAGCTTCAAAAAGAAATGTACAATTTTTAGCTCTTCACCTAGTTTTGAACCCACGAGCCGCCACTACTTTTTATACCTACATTCCCATCTACTCAAGAAATATTCTTTACACAGAGACACAGACCTAAAGTACTACGGTATCCTGTCATAAACAGAGGTACAACCTCTGATATACCTGCTTCCATCACATATTTTTGCCATTGGCAGTGACGTTTTGATCCTAAAAAATTGCTTGACAAACTACAAGAAATGCCCGTGTCATTGACAAGTTTTGAAATACATACTAAAAAAGTTGCACTAAATAAGAAAAATACTACACAGGCTGCGCCAGAACCCGCGCCCCAGAGAAAAATGCCACGTAAGGTATGATACCAGGAACATGAAAAAAATATTTAAAAAAAATTATCTATAAAAATTTCGATTTTAAATTTTGCACTTTGACTCTATTTATTTCTGTTGGAATAACAATTTTCCAAGTTTTTTTGCTACAGGCTATTAGAAGAAGAAAAAAGAAAGCTTTATGCTAAATTATGTTATTCGTGGTTTTTATGAACCAAATTTTTATATCTTTACTAAATAATTATAAAAAAACATATAAAGATTATCAGTATCATTCAATAGACATAAAAAATATCAAAAAATAAATGTCAAAATTTTTTGACATTTATTTGAGAATTTTTTAAACATTTTTTTCATGTTCTTGGTATCCCATCTTACTTGAAATTTTTCTCTGAGGCGTGAATTCTGACACAGCCTTTATGTATTACCATGTATGACCATGGAATTTGTAAAATAAAATGAAGCTTCCATTTGGTCTTCAAAAATGCAACCAGCAATGTACAGTTAATTGTTTTTGTTGCATTGCCACCTACTTACTCACTTCAATAATAATAATAATATATATTTTTTTTTAATTTTATCAGTAAATGTAAATTGTTTTATAAATGAACTTTTATATAAGATTCAATGCTTACATTAATGAATTGCAAAATACAGAATAACCCCAAGAAAAACTTGTTAGTTAAAGTAACAAAAATTAACGATTTTTTTTTTAATAAAAATGTTTTTCTCTAATTTTTTTAATGCTTTTAATTTCTCAATTTTAGTTCTTTTATTTTATATTTTGGAATAAAAGGTTTTTAATTTTTTTTATTAATTCTGCATACGTCCCATTAAGGGACACCTCTCCATAACCGACAATTTAAGATTCCCCATCCGTGTCCGTTGTTGAGAGGTTTTACTGTATTTCCTATTACCTACCTCCATTACCTATCTGTATTCCATTTCCTACATCCATTACTACTCTCGTTTTCTAGTCCCTCTTGTGTTAAAATTAAAATTAGTGGAACCGCATGACTATCACTGTTTGTTATGTTTATTACCGTAACACAATCGACAAGTCAAGCTTTTTGAACATTTTTTTTTCTTTTTCACAAAAATTTAAGATACGGCTGTGAATAAAATTGTATACAAACCTCGATGGAGTTTTATTTCTGTCTTGAGATAAAATTAAACTTTACGCAACCATCGTGGCAAACTTTTTAATCTCTTGAAATGAAACACTTTCCACCTCGGAATGTGATCTACAATTGTGGTTGATCTATAAATGAATTCAGAATGTGAAAAATCGTATTCTAACAAATTGGGATGGTTAAGTGCAACTTTTGAGATAATTTACCTAAAAATTTTTGAGAAAAGTTGGCACTCGGAAAGGTCAGAAGTGTTGTAAATATGTGTACGTGTAGAATTACATTCCAACGGCGATGTGATTTATTTTTTATTTATTTTACAATTTTCGACTATACGTCAGAGGAGAAATTTTAACCTTTACTATTTTTTTACCGTTAATCATAAGCCATTTTAAAATAAAATGCGAGTCAAATACAAATATTTGACTACTTAACCAAAGTTAAGTATTTTCGTTTTATCCCAAAAACTGTTAATGACCCCTTAGTGTTGAAATAACACAAGTATACGGAATATCTTATGTTATAGTTGTAGCCAAAAGATTATTCAGAAGAATGCAGTCGCACTGTTCCTATTTTCCACATTTTGTTAAGAATAGAATTTAGTAGATACCTAATTTTCTAAATGACTTAAACACTTGAAATAACTTCAAATGTTAAATGCAAAGTTTTTAATAACATAAAAATACTGAAATTCATCAAAAATTTCTCACATTAATCAATTTTCTAAACTCTATCACTTTCTGTTTTGTTACAGGTGTTACTTCAAAAAATACAACTATTAAATCAACTGAAGTAACTGCGACCAATGCATTTGCAATATCCACTAAACCTAACGCTGTCATCAAATCTACACAAACTGATACCATAAAGCCTACCAAAACTGATGCAGTCACCAAATCTACTACATACACTGCAGCAGTTAAAACTGTTGACATAGATTCAGCTGTTACACCGTCTAAAATTGACGCATCTTTCAAGCCAACAAAAGTTGAAGCAGCTGTTAAACCTACTAAAATTAATGACACAATCAAACTTCCTAAAAAAGAAGGAGCTACTATGTCTACTAAAGTCGACGCAGTTATTAAACCTTCTAAAGTAGACGCAGCTGTAAAAGCCACTAGTGTCCATGCAACCGTTAATCTTGTTGAAGCAAATGCAGCTGCAGCTGAAAGAGCTATCAAGTCTACTAAAACTTACTCAGCTGTTAAACATAATAACAGTAATGCAGCTATTAATGCTTTTAAAGCTGACACAGCTCGCAACGCAACTGTCAACTCTACTAACACAGCTGCCAAATCTTCTAAATTTAACACAGCAGTCAAACCCATTAAAGCAGATACAGTTGTTAAATCGACTAAAGCTGAGACAGCTAAAGTAGCTGTTAAACCTTTAAAATCTGATGCAACAATAAAATCTACAAATGCTAATGTAACTGTTAAGGTTACCCAATTTGATGGAGCTGTTAAACCTGCTAAAGTTAAGAAAGTTAATGCAAATTCAACTGACAAACTTTCAAAATCCCAAGCAGCTGTGAAACCTACAAATGTTGACGCAGCTGTTAAGGTTACCCAATTTAATGCAGCTGTTAAACTCACTAAACCTAAATCTGACGCAGCAGTTAACCTTACAAAAGATGGTGCAGCCACTGCAGCTGTCAAGGCCACCAAAACTTCTAAATCCTACACAGCAGTCAAAGTTACTGCATTTGCGGCAGCTGTCAAACCTACAGTCGAAATGCCTAAAACTGGGGCAGCTGTGAAATCTATTCATACCAAAACTTTGTTTTCCAGTATACCTATTGAAGAAGTTCCTTATCAAGTTTCTATCTTGATTTCTAGAAAATACGCTTGTAGTGGTGTAATTATCAACGAATTGCATATTTTAACAGCAGCACAATGTGTTGATGGGTATTGGAAAAAAGTAAAATAGAGTAAATAAATATTTATATTATTTTCAGAATTTCAGAAGAAGATATGACAGTTCGAATAGGATCTAAATACGTGGACAGAGACGGTCAAATAATTCAAGTAACCAAAATCACTAAACATCCAATGTATTTAGCAGCTGCTACGGATAATAATATTGCAGTATTAGAATTGCTTTCTCGAATTGAATTTAACGATTTTGTAGCAGTTGTGGGCTTTTCCACTACTGAATGGCCCATAGGAACCGAAGGTTTTGCAACTGGTTGGAAACCTATCGACGATCAAACTCCGATTCCAGTTTTGAAAGGAACTACTATGAAAATATTAAACCACAAAGCGTGCGAGCCAAAAAAATATAATCAACAACATATGTTCTGTGTTGGAAGTCTACAGCCATTGCTGGAAACATGTTCTTGGGGTTCTGGTAGTCCCTTAGTGGTACATAACATCCTTGTCGGAATTTTTAATAATAAACTTGGATGTGAACCAGGCAATAATAGAGTTTACACTAGTGTACCTGCTTTTCGGGAATTTATACGAAAAGTAGTCCTTGAATAAATATATTAATGAAATTGCTCGATTGCAATTTTGTATCTCCAATTTTCATATCCTATCGATAAATTGTATTAGAATCAAAACATAGAAATTTTTAAAATTATTCGTGACTGGAATATGATAAATAGTATATTACAAACCGAGAAAAGAAGAGCTTCGAGCTTCGTTCTCGAACAACGCTCGGCTGATATGAAGCCTTCCTTCGAGGTTTGTATACTATTTTATTCGCAATTATCCAATGTTAAAATTCAATTTACTATAATTTCTGAATAACAAATGTCTTGATGTAACTCATTTAAGTCAATGTAAGTGAGGCATGACAATATAAAAATTATAATTCTCAAAAAATAACGCCTAATCCTACTTTTAGATAGTTTCTGAATATTATAAATGTTGTATCGCCGCGTTGGTAAATAAAGAATGTCAAGTGACAACACATAATGTAACTAATAGTGAGGCTCATCAAAGTTATACAAGCCATTCTCCAGGTATATAATTTTTTTCGGGGTATACAAACGAAGTGGTAAATATGGCATTACGCCGAACGCTCACATATTATTATGTATATAAAAATTTGAAAATTATTAAAGTAAAGTGTTCATTACAGTACGATTTCAAAAAAAAAGTATTGAGGAGCAGACTTTCAAAATGCAGTTTGTCCATTTTTTTATGAACTGAGGTAAAGATGGCGCTGTAGGCTATATGCAATTGTCCTTCAAATAAACCTTTCCTGGAGGTTCAAATCGCATTTTGTCCTATGTTAAAAAAATATTGAAAGTTGCCTGGACATTCAAATTGCATTTAGTCCTACAGGTGTCCGGAAAATCGCGCACTTCTTTGAAAGAGAGTAATTAGGTAGTCCTCCAGAGTACTGAAAAAATGTTTAAAAAATTCTGTCTGTCAAAAAATTTTGTCATTTATTTTTTGACATTTCTTTATGTCTATTAGTGCTGTACAATTTAGCCATCTAAACCGGCCATAAAATTTAACCAGGTTAATTAGTTCATCAGTCAACTAGTTAATCCAAATTAACCGGTTAAATCAATTAACTAGTTAATAATTTGGATTAACTAGTTGACTGATGAACTAATTAACCTTAAATTAGAAATATGTTAAATATTAAATTTTATGGCCGGTTTTGTTGATTCAAGCAAAACGCGTTTTGTCCGTCAATTCTGAACTAAATGCAGTTTGTTTGATAGTTGACGCACTACAATACTTAAAAAAAATAACAGAAATAAGCGCTGTCCAAGAATTTTTACTCAAAAGAAGTCACACCACCTACCAAGTACTTATTAAAACCGATGAAGAAGACGATGAGGAAGACGTGCAACATTTACAAATTTGTTTATTAAAAGATATGTATACCAAAATAAAGATTTTTGACCTTTAAATAGCATTAAGTCGCCCTTTGACAACCAAACAGAATTATGTCCAAGACATATTTGTGTTTTTTTGCAAAATGCCTATGTACTTAAGCCGTAAAATAGTGTACAGTTTTCACATTTATTGGCACTGGTATAAAACATTAATAGTAGATTGTTCTATAAATTAAGAAAAGTGGTTGTTTTCCAGTGAGTGTAAAAGTTTCAATTATTAAATTAAATTACACGAACAAGGAAAAATCACTTTTCTTAACGTCTTGAACAATCTATTTTTTCGTGTATTTGACCAAAAGGACTAAAATGTAAAAATGAAAAAAATTAATTGATCAAGGTGTCATATTTTGCTAACATGGTAGCAAAACAAGAGAACGATGTTTTTAGTACATTTTTCATTGTGCAAAATGACTGAATTGGGTGAAAAGTTTTGCAATATTTTAACAACAGTATCAGAAGTTAATTCAAATTTGCTACCGCCGAAGGCAAGAGAAAAGTATGAGAAAACTTATGAACCTTTTTATGAAAAGTAGAAGATGTTGATAACATTTAATACTTTAAATAATTGTACATTTTTTATTAATATTCATAATTAAACAGTTTAATTGTTGCTTTTTTTAATGGTCGTTAAGAATCCAAAATCGTGAAGAAGTTGCTAACTGAAATCGTGAAGAAATGTGTTGCTAACGATCAAAGTTCCACTTTTCTTTACGATTTTGAATTGAACAATGTACTACATTTATAGCAAATACACGAAAAAATTATTTCTTATAAGAAGGACCGTTTTTGCTCTCTCCTAAAAAAATGTAAATTTGACAAACTGCTTTTTGAAAGTCTGCTCCGCTATTGTCGTGACTGATTTACAAATTGATAAAGTTTGTATATTTGGTCACATACTTAATGCTCAATTAAATGTTATCATTTTGTTATGAAAACGTTGAAAATCATGACAACAGTCACATTCAATGTAAGCTTATTATCTATGAATTATCATGGTAAGTATAAAGTACAAGAGGTTTCACATAATTTTTCGAGGGCTGCGGATGTAAAATGCCATCAGCAATTCATAATCCGATAAAATTGCATAGTATTATCTGTATCTTGTGTCATTTCTATCGCCATTCTGTAATTTTCCATAATCTTTTTTTGTATAAAATAAACGCTCTAAATTTGCTAGTAAGGTCTAGTTATAACAGACATTCTTCTTCACAAAAATCAAATGTTTGTAACCCATTGCATTAAACGTTAAATGTCGAAATTTTTAATCAGGGGCATCCGAAACTGGTGGGGTTTAGGGTAAAAAAAATACCCTATCTATTTTGGTTTTAGTTTCTTTAGTTATGCATTGACCAAAATGGTGGTCACTTTGAACAGCTCCTTTAGATTTAGGCAAATTCATATTATTGTTACTGTAATGTAATGTTAAGTAGTTGAGGTTGATTAAAAAATATGAATTTCTTGCTTTTATTATTCTGTAAATTCTGATTTATTTGAATGTTGTATTGGTGTGTAACATAAATTTTAATTTAATTTTATTCAAAAACAACAAAACAAAAAAAGTCGTATCGACACAAGAAAGACTTTTCTGTGATAAATTATCGAACTTAACATTTTGTGCTGAAAGTACCGAGAAACTAAAGCCAAAATAAATAAGGTATTTTTTTTTAAACTCCCCCAGTTTCGTACGTTCCTGATTAAAAATTTTGACATTTGAGTTTGAATTCGTTTAGGTGTATAAAGGTTATCATCTCTACCAAATTTTGTAATTTTATCTTAAATGGTTTCTGAAATATTAGCAAAAAAATATAAGCCCCCTTCCAGGGGGTGTAGCTCCCTTACCAAGCATTTTTCGATACATGTTTAAAGGAAACTTTTGTCTTAGAATTGAATATCCTATCATCTGTTTAAATTTGTAACAATAAAAACGGAACACCCTGTACATGTCTGAATGCAATGATAATAGTTTTCAACAAAAGTAATTGTTCTTGATATAATAATAGTAATAATAAAGATTAATTTGGCAACCATCGACTGAAATTTAACCTACCGAGATTTTTACATTTCTGGACGAATTATAGCTAATAAGTTGGATAAGGAAAGTCGTGTGATGTTCACACCAGATTTTTTATAGCCGCCCATGTTTACGCATCTTCAGCCACTTTTAACAGAATTTTATTCTTTTCTCTTTCAAGGACAGATTTTTGCTTATGACAATTTATATTGGCGATTAACAATTTAATATCAATTTTAAGTATTTTAGCATTTTTTAAAGACATGTTACATTTACATTTTAAAGACTAGGCTTGTTTAAGTATTGCGGTATTAATCTCTACCCACAAAATACATTTTAAATTTTGTTAGTACCCGTTGGCAAATAATAGTGATATCAGATCCAAAAGTTTTAGGTTGGACACCTTGTATACAATTTTGAAGAAAACAAATTTTTCAGGTATATTTAAAATGGGAGCAAAAGTCAAAAAAAAAAATAAAAAAGGCATTCAAACCATTGTACGTTTCCCCATAATGCATAATTCAACCAGAAAAAGTTGTGAGAATATTTGTGGCTAAAGTCATCATTCAAAAGTAACCCCGAAATAAAAATATTCTTACTTTCTCTATGCGAATTACATAAATAAATGGTTGATCTAGATTTTGTCTTCTGTAATTATTGTCCGTGAATATGAGGACTTTAAACTTTTTCTTAAAGATGTACCGCTTATGACTATTTATCATTATTTAAAAGTATCAAATAACACTATCAATCACGGCTAATCTGTTAAACCTCTTGGTGCAATAAATCTTACTCTTATTGATTATTTTATCAAACGGATTTATTGTCGTCAAAAATTTTAGTATATAACGCCTCGGAGGAGTCAAAAATCATATTAGTGATAAATATTCCAGTCAAATATGTACTTTGCTGTATTTTTAATTGCAACTGCAATAAGCAACTTTGGGGTCAACGCAAGTAAGAGAAGTCAACATTTTCTTGTAAAATTATTTACCACACTAAAATTATACGTAGATCCAGTTTGTCCCAAACAAGATGGAAAAGACGCTGTTTACATCCCACACGAAGATTGCACCAAATTCTGGGAATGTTCAAATGGTACTCCGTATCTCTTTAACTGTTCTGCCAATTTGCACTTTAATCCCAAACTGAATGTCTGCGATTGGCCAGAACAAGCAGGGTGTAAAGGAAGTGGTGAAGATAGTAGCAGTAGTAGTAGTAGCAGCAGCAGCAGCAGCAGCGAAAGCCAAGGATCCGGTGATAACTCACAAGGAAAAGACGACGAAAATGACAGCGGCAACAGCAGCAGCAACAGTGAAGAAGGTATTGAATAATAATTATTAAATATAAATTATTATATGTATAGAATGGTCAAAAAGTCCTTTTATCACTACTTAAAGATGTATGTCCCATATATTACCAAGTTGTCTTTAAAAATTAAATTGCAAGTTGAATTATTCTGTAGAATCTCTCAAAACATTCTTAAATAATATATTTTTGGTATTTTCTTACACAAATCGTATATCACGAACTCATATCAGAACTGACCATAGAAAAGAGATTGAATTGATTAAAAAATTAATTTGTCATTTTCAGTTGTCACGAAAAGGTTTTATCTTGTGCAGATATAC